GGTGGGGGTGGTTGTTGTATTAAACAGATTTTTCGGAGATGGTTTTAGCAGGAATTTTGAGCATAGGAGACTAAATAATTCGAGTCACAAGCAGTTGTGAGCGAGCGTAGGCAATAGCGCTTAGTTGTATCTTGTTACGGTGCCTCTGTTTATTTGCCAACTTGTCAGATGAGAATTGGGATTATCGGACTCTATTTATCTGTATTATTCGATCAAGTTTTTGATTAATAATAAAACGCTTTCTGGGAAGATTTGAAGTGGTTTTTTCTGTCGATTATTAATTGGAAATGTGTTCGATAATTTTGTTCTCTATGTTAATTCTTGCTATAAGCCTATAAGTAGGAGCAATAGTACTAATTACTAATTTTTTTTTTTATTCTGACAACGATTGATGAATCGTCTATGAGATGCTACACATGGTATAACACACTGAGTGGTTTTGTATAGTCGATCTATATAAATAACATACAACCACATTGGTGTGTGCTATTATGTGTAGATCCGGTTTAATATGATCCGGTGTATTTCACTGTGTGTAGCATCTACAAAACCCGATTGACGTAATATCAATTGGGATTTTTCTTAATTTGTTAGTAAATATTGTACTTTCTCACTTTTCAAAAACTATTCCAACTTTTACTCAAATTTAAATATTTTATAATCAATATTTTATTGTATACATGATTTGGCAATCCTAACATTAGGTGTTAGTCCATTTAATACCGTTGACCAAACATAATATATATATATATATATATATATATATATATATATATATATATATATATATATATATATATATATATATATATATATATATATATATAGGGAGGGACATAGACGCACACTCACGGTATATTTTTATATATATATATATATATATATATATATGTGTATATATATATATATGTATGTATGTGTGAGGGGGATAGTATTTATATATATTTCAAAATTTGCCCCTATTTTCAAATATGGATTTGAATCGATATCATACGGTGGCAGAAATTGACCCTACCCGACCCGAATAGAACACACTCTTTCGCACCTTGTCTTGACCGCTACCATTCCTCAACCAGAGTTTTACTCTATATTTTGATTAAATAAATAAATTTACTCATATTTTGAAACCAAAAAAAAATTGAAATGGGCAAACCTGTTTTTATATTTCTCTTCACGAAGAGACTTTTGTGAGTTGCCACCACTTTATAGACTTGATCAATAACATATTTAATAAACATTCATACACTCTCACATTAATAATATACACTCACACAAAAATAGAGTACTCTGCAAAAAGTACCCCATTTTACTCTCTAAAGAGAGAAACCCCCCTGTGATAAATAATCTAGCAAACACCCCCCTCTGAAATTATTTAAATCGCA